CTGCTCAAAGTCGGCCAGTGAGGGGGAGCTCAACCCCTCCCTAAGCAGCTGATTCCACTGTTGAACAACTCTTAACTGTGAAAAAGTTTTTCCTAAGATCCAGTTTGTCATACCTTACAGGTTGTTGTGCAGATAAAATGGTATAAAGGAGAAACTGCTTCTTCTTCCAGTTCTGCTGCTGCTGCGTCATTGTAGGTTTGCAGCTTACAGATACACACCTGAACAGCATACTTAAGATTGCAACAGCACAGACATTTTGATGCAATAATTCAGAGCAAGAGGTGTCAGTTATCAGATACTGTTAAATAAACAAAATATTGCAAGAGTGGTCTCATTTATGTCAGATCCAGCCCTCATAACAAATGTGTTTGACACCCCTGGGTTAAGAGTGTCTGACTAGGATCCCGGAGACCCAAGTTCGAATCTGTACTCTGTTCTGAAGTTTGCTCGGTGACTTTGGGCTAGTCTTTCAGCCTAGTGTACCTCATAGGGCATAAACTGGAGTTGGAGAGAACGTTTTAAGACACTTTGGGTCCTTATTGCAGAGAAAACTGGGGTATAACTATATAAATAAATACAAACCGCTGATCATCATGCAGCACATGCAAAGTGAATGCTCTCTTTGCATGCAAAAAAACCCCTGGGAACGTCCCCCAGACCAGAGCAAAATAGCCATATTCTTCCCATTGTTAGTCACCATGATGTAATAATGAGAGAGGGACTGTTCTCCAAGGCTGAAGTTTCAATTCTTGCTTAACTTTTATGGCCACTTTATGATCCTTTGTCGATGACATTTGCATTTATGGTCGCCTTGTGTCAATAAATTCCATGCATGGTATAGTATTGTCCTTCAGTGGTGACACGCCACATCACAGCCAAAGTATTTTGAATGCAGACTCCTTCCACTTTTCCAAATATGTCTGTCTCTACCGTTGGGCAAACTCTGCTTTTCCTTAGCCCTGCCTCGCCTGAGTCAGGCTCCTCCTCCTTTCTTGCAGCCTGGCTTTTGGGCTGTTTTCAACCTCTTTTCCCCTCCCTAGGTTGCCTGGTATGTCCATCCATTGAAACATTCATTCAGCACTGCCCCTCCCCTTAAACAAAAGAAAAAGAAGCATTGTTCAGGCAGGGTGGACAAAAGTGGCAGCATGATTGGCACAGGGGCCAGCCAATGTGCACTTTGCCCAGCTGAGCGTGGGAGGTAGCTGGCTCTGTGACGGACAGCGGCGACAGCCAAACCAACACTCTGCAAAGTCATAAGAATTGGTTTCTTTGAGGCTTGATTCAGTTTTGGAAGTTTGTTCCGCTGTCTAAAAAAGGGTGCTTGAAATCCACAGCTAGCTTGGCCCTCAAAGTACATATGTCTGTGTTCAACTAATGCATGCTGGAGGACGTGTCGGAGTCTCCCCCCGCCCCTCACTCTTTGTTTGGATGATTTTGCCTGCCGTTGACTGAGCCCACCAAGGGTAATAGCACAGGGCTGAAAGGGCAGGGAGGACACTAAGCCTTCCTCTGTACCAGCCCTAGCTCTGTGGGACTTCCGGCTGTTGCCCAGGAGTGGCACAAACTCCCAACCTCCTGTGCCAGAGGGCAGCCATTCATAAAGCATTTCCTCCATTTGGTTTACACTTGGCGCGTGCTGAGATGAGTGAATAATTCCCGGGTTCTCCATCTCTTTCTCTCCACAGGATGTGGAAGGCACAGGCCTGGCGTTCATCGCTTTCACCGAGGCCATGACCCTGTTCCCCATGGCCCCATTCTGGTCCGTGCTGTTCTTTTTCATGCTCCTCAACTTGGGGCTGAGCACCATGCTCGGAAACATGCAAGGGATCATCACCCCTTTGATGGACAACTTCCAGAGCCTCCACCGGCGGAGAGCCCTCTTCACAGGTATGGCGGGGCTCAGGAAGGATGGGGCGTGACTGGAGAAAGCAGTGCCCTGCGTACCTCTGCACCTGAGCTATGCTGTTATTTATTTATTTAGCTTATATCCCACCCTATCCCACAAGTGGGCTCAGGGCAGCTCACAACATATAAAAGACAAAATCAACAGAACAAGATGGCAGCTTGCAGGAGAGCCAAGCACGATGAGTCCTGAGGGGCTAGAAGGGATTGTGCCATTTAAGACTTGGGGGAGAGGGGTTGCCCTTTGAAGCACAAAAACTCCCTGCAAGTAGAAAAATTGCACAGCAAGGTGAAGCGAACGAGAATCTTTCTCTCTGATGTGTTGTTCGTTTTCAGAAACAGGAAGAAGGGTTGTTGTTTTTTTAAGTGTGCGGGAAGCATTCAAGAACTAGGTCCCCTTCCCCTGCAGTCTTAAGTGGTACAACCAATGTCTCAGCAATTTCTACCACCTCATTCTACTCTGTGCAGTTAAGAGCCCCCCTCGTGCTAAAAGAGGTGACAGGATTCCAGGTTGTACCAGTTGAAGCCACAGGTGGCTTTTTGAATGCTCTGCCATGTTTCTAAACAAAAAACCTCCTGTCGTAAATTACCACAGGATGGAAAGCTTGTTTCTGTGGGGAAATAGTCAGAAAATGTGATCTGTGCCTCTTGTCTTTTCCACCCCTGGGTTTGAAGTAGCCCAGTCCAGAATTTGAACCCCTCTCCCCTTTTGTGTAACACGTGGGAGGGCTGAGGTTGGTGCTTTCCAGCCTGGGGCATGGCCTCAATTAGAGGCAAGGTTGGCCAGGGCTGACCTCTGATCCCTGTTTTACAGGCTGAGCTATGGATTAATAAGAGTGCGCCTGAACAAGTGCAGAGGGCTCTTTCTTCACCACAACCAGTCTTTGCACAGAGGTGGATTTAGGGGGTAGGGACATCCAGGCAGGATGTGATTCCCAAGTAGACTGGTGCCCCAGCATTTATTTTCCGTATTCCTTGTGTGTTTCTGGTGGATGGTGGGGTCTCTGCTATCCGGACTGCTGACGTGGGGCCTCCTCTCCCTTCTTCTCCCCGCAGTGTTATGCTGCGTAGTTGGATTCCTGTTCGGCCTGCTTTTCGTTCAGCGCTCTGGCAGCTACTTTGTGGCCATGTTTGACGACTACTCAGCCACCTTGCCCCTCCTGATTGTCGTGGCTTGTGAAGCTTTTGCCGTGGCCTGGGTCTATGGGGCTGACAGGTACGTTTCTACCCTGCCTCCCAACTGTGTCCAAGCATCTGCCAGTCTGACCTTTCTCTTTTGATTGGTGGAGAGTCCACGCAGTTGCCTCGGAGTGTGCCAGACATCATTGTCTTTCCGTTTGATACCCTTTGCCCTGTTGGCTCAGTGGCAGAGCACTTGCCTTGCATGCAGAAGGTCCCAGGTTCAATCCCCGGCATCTTCAGTGATATAGCATCTCAAGCCATAGGGCGGGAAAGGCTTCCACTTTAGACCCTGGAGAGATGCTGCTGGTCAGAGCAGACAATACCAAGCGAGGTGGCCTGGTGGTCTCTCTCTGTATAAGGCAGCCTCATATGGCTTTTGGGGTTTAGCTGTCACCAGGGGTCATTTCGTAGAAAAAGAGGTGCAGAAGCTCATTAGCATAACTCATTAACATAACTCATTTGCATATGCCATATCCCCTGCAGATCTGTCCTCACAGAGGAGGGAGAGCTTGTACCTGAATAAAACTTGGTCTTAAAGGTGCCTCTGGACTGTTTTGGACCGGGGGGCCGGGGGGAGCTCTACAACTTACCTAGCTGCTTCTTGCTCTGACTGAGGGCTGCTGGGAGCAGGGGGTGGGGCTTGTTGCATGTGCCCGCCCCCTGGGCTCTTTACTGCCGGAGCTCCGCTCCTGTGCGCTCCTGCAGGAAATGACCCCTGGCTGTCACGCATCTGCTTTGCATGGAGAAAGTCTCAGGTTTGGTCCAGAGACATCTCCCATTAAAGGATTTAAGGCAGGAAGTGCTGGGAAAGACCCTTCTCTGCCTGAGATCCAGGGGGAACACTGCTAGTTAGAGTAGGTAGTACTGAGCTAGATGGATCAGCTCTGGGTAAGTGTCTGGAAGTTACCTGCCTGGCTATCACTAGGCTGCCTGCACCCGTTTCCCCGCCAGTCAGCTGGCGGCGGGGGGGGGGAGGCTAGCTACTGCCACAGGACAACCACAAGCCCTTGCCTCAGCCCAAAGTTGCCATTGGCCAGTTGCTCCATGACCCTGGGGGGTGCCTCAGTGTCTGTCCCGCCCCCAGAAGTGGGACACAGCCAACTGGAACATTGGAGTGGTCACTATGGCAACAAGGGCCCAACAAGACTGGGTAGTCTCACAAGGCCTGGGGGGTGGGGGTAGGCCTTATATAGGCCGAGGGCTGAGGAGGACTCCCCGGTCAACTCCGGTGGCACCCAAAGAAAGGGAGCTGAGGCAGCCAGGAGGGAAGAAAAGACACAGGGCGAAGCCCCAGAAAAACGCCTTCCTTCCCCGGTGAGGCAAAGCAGGAAAGGTAGGCCTGCCCCATCCGGCTGCTTCATGTGTTGTTGTTGTTCCTTCCTTCTGACGCCAGGTTCCTAGACGACATAGAAGCCATGCTGGGCTGGCGGCCTTGGTGCATCTACAGCTACATGTGGCGCTTTATTAGCCTGGCATCAATGCTGTGCCTGCTGCTAGCGAGCCTGGTACGCATGTGTTTGAGTCGCCCAACCTACCAGGCCTGGAACAAGGAAGAGGTAAGCCCCCACCCAGTCCTATCCCTTCATGGTTCCAGCCAATAACAATAAGAGAAGGGGTAGTTTACTTATTTGGAAGAGTCGTGTCCCGGTGGTGGTGGTGGTGGTGGGAAGTGCCGTCAAGTCACGGCTGACTTGCCCTGACCTGGATAGCCCAGGCAAGCCCGATCTCATCAGATCTCGGAAGCGAAGCGGGGCCGACCCTGGCAAGTACTTGGATGGGAGACCTCCAAGGAATACCAGGGCCAGGACGCAGAGGCAGGCAATAGCAAGCCACCTCTCTGAAAAATGTCCTGGCCCCACTAGGGGTCGCCAGAAGTCACTGTGACTTCCAGGCTCACAACCACACACACACACACACACAATACCAACAAGAAAAAGTCACAGCTGACTTACAGCAATCCCTGGTGGGGTTTTCAAGGCGAGAGACGTCCAGAAGTGGTTTGCCAGTGCCTGCCTCCATGTCACAACTAGGGGATGCCAGCCTCCAGGTGGGACCTGGGGATCCCCCTGGCATTACAGCTCATTTCCAGACCACAGAGATCTGTTCCCCTGCAGAAAGCGGACTCTGGCATTCTACCCCACTGAGGTCCCCGTCCTCCCCAGGCTCCACCCTCAAATCTCCAGCAGCTTCCCAGCCTAGATCTGGCCACCCTCCCCTCCCCTCCCCTCCCCTCCCCCATTCCCTGCCAGTGGTCGGGGGGACCTGGCAACTCAAACAACCCTGTACTTCTTTGGATGTCTCCCATCCAAATACCGGCCAGGGCTGAGCCTTCTTAACTTCCGAGATCTGTTGAGATCGGGCTAACCTGGGCTATCCAAGTCAGGGTCATAGTCATATCCATTTCGTAGAAAAAGAGGTGCGGGAGCTCATTAGCATAACTCATTAGCACAACTTATTTGCATATGCCACACCCCCTGACATCACTGGAAGTGTGTCAGAAGGCAACACCCACCGCTCAGGCTCCACTGGACTCTTTTGGGTGGCTAGCTATTGGGGGGGGGGAGAGGAACGTGCAGATCTGTCCCCGCAAAGGAGAGAGAGCTTGTACCTGAATAAAATCTGGTCTTAAAGGTGCCACTGGACTGTTTTGGACCGGGGGGCAGGGGCTCTGCAACTCACCTGGCTGCTTCTTGCTCTGACTGAGGGCTGCTGGAAGCAGGGGGTGGGGCTTGTTGCATGTGCCCGCCCCCTGGGCTCTTTACTGCCGGAGCTCCGCTCCTATGTGCTCCTGCAGGAAATGACCCCTGGATATCCTACCTTCCCGATATTAAAATGGCATGTGAGGCAGCTCATACCATGATTTTTAGAACATTATAAAATTATATTACAAGAGGTTTCTTTTTTTCCGTGTAGCCCCTCTTTGTTGGCTCTTTGCTGGGCCCACTGGGTCCAACCATCTCTGCCTGTTTTCAGGGCGGCTGCTTCTCCTTATATCCCATTGAAGCCCCTCCCCTCCCCAAACCCCATGCTCCTCAGGTTCCACTCTCAAAATATCCAGTTATATATTATTTTTAAGTATAAGCATCATGTGTGCCCGACAAGAAAAAAAATTGCCCCACAAAACGAAAAATCCTGGCTACGGCCCTGACTGAGATGCATTTAATGAAACAATAATCTATTAGAAACCAGCACTGGACCACCACTCTATATTCCAAGTCTCACCAGATGGGCTCTGTTAATTTCGATTGTCGGTGTCTCTTCACAGGCAGATAAGCAGCAACTGGAATACCCGCCCTGGGCTCTGGGTCTTCTCGTAAGTCTCATGGTTGTGGCCGCCCTTCCCATCCCGATCATGTTTGTCCGGCAGTTGTTGCTCGAGCGGCTGGCTCCGGCAGTACCACCTGTGCCCCCTAAGGAAGAAGACGACGGGGAGGAGGAAAAAGAGAGCCCAGCTGATCCCGATTACCAAAGTAATGGGTACCTGCCTGTTCGGACAGAAGAGAGGCAGGACTTCTAGCTGGGATGTACCCCGTGCAAATTGTGACCCATCTGAGCTGCCAAACCGTCCTCATCTTGGATAGATCCACCGCTGTGTTTTTCCTCTCCAGCCTCAGGCTCACTGATATCAGGGCTGGTGTTTGTTTAGACCCTTCTGGTGCTATTTGTCCAGTGGATGGGTGCCAAAGATGGGGCAAGCCAATGAAAGAGGAAAACAAAAATGGTTTCCTCAGCTGATCTCTCTGAACCCACTGAAGACCAACTGCGGCTTAAGACACGAAGACCCTGAAGGCAAGTGAAGAGGACTCGAGGGACTTCAAAATAATCAAAAGTGATGTGCAGGCAACCCGAGGTGAACTGAGATTTGAAAAGCTCAGTGAGTCAGCTTGCAGCTCACGCTACAGCCGCAGAAGTCTCTGTTTGCTTCCCAGAAGATGCCTCCGCTGGGTCCTAATACCTCCGTGAATACTGAGGCGCAAGACTTACAAGATTTTGCCAACTGACCTTGGGAGGTTAAAGGGTAGAAGAGTAGTGTGAGAATCATCAGGACCCAAGAAGGGAAAGGACGATCCAAGACCTGGTGGGGGTTTGTCTCTTTTTGTTCGAGGACCTGTTACAATGGCAGCCCACATTCACTCCTCTCTGCCTCCATTCCTCCCTCTGTTCCTCCTGCCCAGGTCTGTATTAAAGGGTAGACACCTTAGGTGCAGGGAGCTTTCTGTTTATTGCCAGTCTGGTGACACCAGATACCCTGATGGCACTCTGTAGTTATTATTTTCCAGAAATTGAGCAAGGGCTCAGGCCACTGGGAGGGAGATCAAAATATGCCAGATGACGGGCTTTCTTTGTCTGCCTCCTCTGGTACACGGCTAACAATATTATGGCCAGAGCACCCTGGAAATAAGACTGAGTTTGGGGTCCATGGCAGGGGAAAGCCAGGACCCAGCAAAAGATGTTGTCAGGTTTAAGGTCTCTGAAAGCGAGCTCGGCGACTGAAAGAGCGAGCCCGTGGATGAAAAGTCCACAGTTGTTGCCTCAGCTCTGCCACAAGCGTACTGGACGGCTTCTGGCCAGCAGTTATTTAAGAAGAATAGCCATGTTGGATCAGGCCGATGGTCCATTTACTCCAGGGACCATCTTTACCACGGTGGCCAGCCAGGTACCCCTGGGAAGTCCACTAGTTGTTGACTGCTCCCCAGCCTCTGACAGTCAGAGGTATTCTGCCTCTGGACCTGGAGGTACAGTTTGCCAGTCGTGGCTAATAGCCAACAGTAGACCTATCCTCTTTAAACCAGTCCAGTCCCCCCCCCCTTCCAAAAGACCTGTCTGTCACCGTCAGGCAGTGAGTCCTACAAGACAGTAACCCATTTTCCGAACCAGCTCTTCCTCTTGTCTGTCAGATCTACCATCCATCAGTTTCATACACTGATCCTGACTTCCAGTATTATGGGAGAAAAGTTAATCTCCCTGCTTTCTCTCTACCGTGCATAATTTTGTAGATCATGTTGCTTGCCACCATGCTTCAGTTGGCTTTCTTCTGCTGTAAGCCCCCACATACACATGCTTCTGCCTTGCTTTGTAGGACCGGTGCTCCAACCTCATAATCATTTAGTTGTCCTTTTTTGCACTTTTTTCTTGCTCTGCAGTATCCTTCTTGCTATAACAACCGAAATTGTTACTGTATTCCATATGTGGCCACACCAGGGAATGGGAGAAATGTGTTACGATTAGGGATGCCAACCTCCAGGTGGTGGCTGGAGATGTCCTGCTGTTACAGCTGATCTCCAGGCGACAGAGATCAGTTCCCCTGGAGAAAATGTCCGCTCTGGATGGTGGACTCTATGGCATTATCCCCCATTGAAGTCCCTCCCCTCCCCAAACCCTGCTTTTTTCGGGCTCCACCCCTAAAATCTCCAGGTATTCCCCAACCCGGAGCTGGCAATCCTAGTTACAATAGTCGTGGTTTTATTCTCATTCCTCGGGTCAACCTACCCTGGGCCATCTGTGATTAGGAGGACAACAGCATTGATTTGCCTTCCCTGGCTGTCATATGGCCCATTGGCAGAATGTATACAAAGTGCTTTGAACATGCAAAAGGCAGCATAAAAATCTTGCTGACGTTCCTTTGTTAGGCGGAATAACCCAGGATGTCCTTTAGATGTTTCATCAGTGGGGGGGTTATAATGGCCAAGAGGAGGAGAGGAGGTCTCCTGATACTTAGAAATCTCAACCAATCAGAGGTTGGAGAACATGATACTCACACCCATCCAGCGAATGGGATAGGGTTGGGAAGTTATGGTGTGTGAGACACCGAAAGCGATTGGCTGAAGGTGAAGCCAGCAGGGTTGCCGTCTGCCTCTGCAGGGACCTGAGGCAGGGTGGCAGATTTGCTGCCTGGTGTGAGTGACCCTTCCTCTGCTGCCTGCATATTATATGCAAAAAAAAAAAAAAAATTGCTGTAAATCTCCCGTGCTCTCCCATCCAAAGGAAATGAGAGCCAGAAACTTATGGGTGGGGAAGCAAGGAGCGTGGAGCAGTATTTACTAGCAGATATGCTAATAATAATAGCCTTGGGTCCTGCCAAAACTTATGACTGATAGAACAACTTCCATCAGTGGACCAGCTAGATTCAAGTCCAGGAGCAACGTAGAGAACCACAAATTTTCAGGGTAGAAGCTTTCCAGAGTCAAAACTCCCTTCGTGTCTAAGGTGCTACTGGACATGACTCTTAACTGTTCTACTGCAGACCAACATGTTGGTTACCCTCTGAAACATCCATCAGTGGACTGTGACTTCCTTCCCTCCCTCCCCCAGGGTTGCCAACAGGCTTGAAGAAAAACGTCCGGTCCATTTTTAATAGAAGCTTAACACGTGGAAAGGCACAGTTGAAGTTCTTCAAGAGATGGAGGGAAAGAACATCCTACGTAGACAGAATATTTTTCTTCTAGGCAGCTGGGGACCTTAGCTCCCCCTTCCCTCTGTAGCCCAAAACGCTCCTTGAAACTCTGGGAGACTCCCTAGGAACAGCATGATGGGGTGGGGAGTCAGATGTCTGTCGCAGGAGGGGGAATCAGCAAACATCATCCCAGCCATGGAAATGTTAGGCAGGATCCAAGCCCAATAGTATCTGAGTTACAGTCAGGGCTTTGACTACAAATTACATGCAAACAATGGGGAATTTCAGACAGGCGATAGATTCCGGAAGGGAACCGGTTCTCAAACGGGTTCTGGTCTGTCATTTCAGACAGAACCCATTTGAGAACCGGTTCCCTTCCGGAATCTATTTGCCATTTCATACACAAACGCTTCAGTCCCGTTTAGGAACCGGGACTGAAGCGTTTTACCTGTCATCCACTTCCAAGTGGTCTCCAGTGCCCTCTCCCGGTTCCAATACGCTTTTTTCCCGCCTTTTTTCACCCGTGTGGGCGATCGGCTGGGGTTTTTTTGAACGTTCGATTTACAGCATTATAGCGGAATAGCATTATATCAATCCCATTGGAAAGCATGGAGTGTTTTGTTATACTGCTATAGCGCTATAAATGAACATTTTTTTAAAAAAATCGCTCACCGGCGCAGGAGGAAAACGGCGGAAAAACAAAGCTGTGCAAGTCTGAAATGCCAAACTGCTTCTGATCTGGTTCATTTCCGGTAGGGGCAAGCCCTGTGTGAAATGGCAGCCCTGTACTGGTTCACTTCAAAACGGATGATTGCCGGCTTGAAACCAGGTGAAACTGGGTAATGTGAAATTCCCCAAAGGTAAGAAAAGCTTACCAAGCTGCTTCCAAGCTGCAAAGCAGCATGGGGGAAGGAGCAATTTTGAAGGAGAGACGCAACAAAGGGGGAGCTTAGCCTGGTCTCTGCTTACTCCTTATGTCCTACAACAATGCCCCTTCCACCATGAACTTCCCGATGTGTTTTATGGAGAAGTTTTAACAGCATGTGAAGAGCCCTGCTGGATCAGACCAGTGGTCCATCTTGTCCAGCATCCTGCCTCACATAGTGAGTGGCCAGCTGGTTCCTCCGGAGGCCCAACAATGGGGCATAGAGGCTGAGAGCTTTCCCTTCATAGGTTTACTGCCTCTGGATATGGAGGCTCCCCTCAGTCACCATGGCTAGTAGCCACGAATGGGACCCATCCTCCATGAATCTGCCTAATCCACTTTTAAAGCGGTTTATTCCTGTGGCCATCACTACATCCTCTGGCAGCGAATTCCACATTTTAATCACTCTGAGTAAAGAAGTGCTTCCTTTTGTCCGTCCTGAACCTAGTGCCCATCAGTTTCATTGGATGCCCTTGAGTTCTAGTGTTATGGGAGAGGGAGAAAAATGTCTCTTTGTCAACTCTCTCCACCCCATAATTTTATAAACCTCTATCATGTCCTGTGTTCCCTCTAAGCTGTGGAGTCTTGTGAGCAACAATTCTACTTTGTGAGCTAGTGGCATTAAAGTTATGAGCGAGCGATTTGGCTACTGCATAAATTAGTCTGCTCTGGAGCCATCTTTCCTGAGCTAAGACAAAAATGTGTGAGCCAGAGGCTAAAAACCTATGAGCTAGCTCACACTAACTCAGCTTAGAGGAAACACTCATGTCCCCCTTTAGTTGTCTCTTTTTTAAACGGAAACGCCTCAGACTCTTCAGGCTTTCCTCAGAGGGGAGGGGCTCTAACCCCCCTAATCCTCTTGGTCGCCCTCTGTCCTTTCTCCAGCTCTGCGATGTCTTTTTTGAGATATGGTGACCAGAACCGTACACGGTATTCCAAATGAGGCTGCACCACAGATATATGCAGGGGCTTTATAATATCAGCCATTTTGTGTCTTTTCCTATACGGGGCACTGGATTCCGACCCCACTACCAGATGCTGTGCTTTTTCTGTTCATGTGTGCACCGAACCTCCCCTGAACGTGCAGAGCAAGTTTCCTTTAGGGGACCCAATATGGTGTTATGGTTAAGAGTATGAGACTGGAACCCCATTGGCCATGAAGCCCAGAGGACCCTGAAACAGTCGCATGCTCTCAATGAGCCCACCTCACTGGGTGGTTGTGAGGGTAAAGTAGGCGAGGGGATGATAGAACATGCATGCCACCAACCTTGGGAAACAATGCTACACAATTACTGTTTTACTGCAATAGGTCAAATTTCTGAAGGGGACACTAAATTGAAAGGCACCTGTCTGTGAAATGGGATTTCTGGGTTTCAGATCAAGATTACAAATGGCCAAATGAGTAGGCTGATGCCAGTGAATCCAGTCCTAGTTCTTCCACATTTTTAAGCCAGTTATTCTTTCTCATGGACTATAGAGGACCTAACTTCTTCTTTTAATGACAGCTAAATGTGTATTAGACATAGAGTGACGGTCCAGACTGGGGTCTTTCCTGATACTTTGGTATGGTAAAGTAAGGGACAATCTAATCGTAGGGAAGATCACCTACCTCACAGGGTGTCTGTTGTGGGGAGGGGAAGGGAAAGGATTTTGTAAGCTGCTCTGAGACTCCTTTGGGTAGTGAAGGGCGGGGTATAAATCCAATCTCTTCTTCTACTTCTTCTACATGTATTGTTTCTAATGGGGAGGGAATAGATATGTTTTTAGCTACATGGACTAGAAGATCTGTAGGCCCAACTTCTCACCCTGTAAATCATCAGTTTCCACGTATTAAAAATTTCACTCAAGATCCTAATTTGAGGGGAGGGAGTTTCATATTTGTCTTCTGAGCTGGGGCTTATCGTTCCAGATCCAGAGAACGCTTTTGTGGAGTGGGAATAACAGGCATACATTGGATGTGTATCTCAGTGTGGAAGCCCACCTTCTGCATTGTTTTGCTTTGGCAGCAAAATGTGTTCTGATGTATACCGCTACTCACACTTTTAGCCATGTGTAAACTGTCGTGCCTAAAGTGGGATTGGGGCATCTGTCTTCTTCATAGAAGGGTATTTATTGAGTTTGGGCTTGTTTTTCTCTTGTCTGTGCCTTAACATTGTGTTTTTAAGTGCTGTTTAAATATTTGTACTTTGTTTTGAAATGAAAAATATTGTAAAAGCTTTATTTTATTTTTTTGCTGGCGAGCGCAGTAATTTAATCACATGTGGTTCATTGGATGCTGGCCTGGGAAGACATGACTTTCAAAATGTGTGTGCAGCTGTTGTTCGGCTGAGGGAGGGAGGCTTGGTAAAGCCATATTCGACCAGCCTCAAGTCTCCCATGTGCAAAATTGAATTAATAAGGACCTGCTTCTCAATGAAAGGTGTTTGGTACATTCAGTGCTGCTATGCCAGTAGAGTTAACACTGTTGAAGGGGCAGAGATGGTGTTCTAACACCAGAACAAAATTCATAATGTACTTCCCTGCAGATAAGAACATTAGAGCCCTGTTGGATCATACCAGTGGTCCATCCAGCATCCTGTCTCACACAGTGGCCAACCAGTTCCTCTGGAGGGCCAACAACAGGGCATAGAGGCCAAGACCTGGTGTAGCCTCCTGGCTCTGGGATTCAGAGGTTTACTGCCTTTGAATGTGGAGGTTCCCCTCAGTCACCATGGCTAGTAGCCACTGATAATTCCCTTTTACAGCTATTCCTGTGGCCATCACTATATCCTCTGGCAGCGAATTCCACATTTTAATCACTCTGTTCTGAATCTGCTGTCCAGTTCTAGTATTTTGGGTGTCCTGTTTGTCAGCTATCTCCGCCCCCAAAAGCAGCACTTGTTGAATGTTTGTAAATTACACAGTTATTTAGAAGCCTAAAGCCTCAACAGGAGAACAAGGAAGCAACTTCAGTGTTGTTGTTTTTA